GGGTTGGCCTGATTCTAAATTGGTGATAATGACCGCCGCCACCACTACCATCACAACCACTGAACAACTATTTACACCTAAAGCAGCAGTAGATTGTTACTCTAACTACTATTATCAGTATTAGGGTAGTTGCCATTGCTGTTGCCGCTTTTATTATAATTTTATCAGTTGTTGCGATGACGAAAATACTAATTACAATCATAATCAAACCAACGACATGAACGAGTGTGATAATGGAGGGAGAAGTGGACTACAGAAAGTTGGAAAGAGAAAGAGACTGAGGAAATTAAAATAAGAAAGGTAGAGAAGAGGAAGACCAGAGATTTGATGGACACTAGCCTTACCGAAGCACATGGGGGCCCTACGTGACAGAAGATCGTCCATTGGCCTTTCCTCAGCTCAGTTCGATCAATGATGCACTGGGTGATGCCGAGTATAAAGTTTTTTTTTTTTTAACTTTCTATTTCATTCATTTTTCGTTTCCTTTTTCGTATGAAAATAAAGACCGAGTGACCGCGTTTTTTTTTTTTTTTTTTTTTTTTTTTTTTTTTTTTTTTTTTGCGAAACTTTGGCAGCCGTGTTTGGAAACGTTCCTGGAAAGGTACTAAAACTCGGGTGTACTCGAAACTAAAAGTCATTTATACGAGTAAACTTTTCTCGCATTTTCTCTCTCTGTGTGTGTATAAGCGCGCGCGCGAGCGCCGCGCGTGTGTGTGTGGTGTGCATATATATTTGTAGTATATATTATATTATATTAATATATGGGAGGGGGAGAGGGGATTGGGGAGTGCATATATAATATTTGTTATTATATATATATTGTATGATACAAATATATATGTGTGTGTGTGTGTGTGCATATATATATTTGTATGTATATATGTATTATTAGTATATAAACATACATTATAATATATATATATATATATATTATATGTTTGTGTGTGTGTGTGTCGTGTGTGTGTGTGGGTGTGTATGTGTGTGTTGTGGTGTGAAGTTGGATGTTGTGTGTGTGTGTGTGTATTTGTGTGTACTGCACAATATAATTCTGTATGATATTACTAATATATTATATATTATAATATTATATATAGTATATAATAATATATTTTATATTATCCATGGGGGCGGGGAGGGGGAGAGAGAGGAGAGGGATTGGGTGGAAGAGGGGTCGGGGCCAGAGGGGAGTTGCGGAAGAGGAGATTGAGGAGGGATGGAGAAAGGGAGGGAGAGAAGAGAGGGAGGGAGGGAGGTGGGGATGGGAGGTGAGCGGAGAGAGAGAGGGCGAGGGAGGAGCGGAGAGACGAGATAGGGAGGAGGGAGGGAGAGATGGGAGGAGCGAGAAGGGAAAGGAGAGGGAAGAAGAGGTGAGGTGAGAGGGAGAGCGGAGAAGAGGAGAGCGGAGAGGGAGATGAGAGGGGAAAGCGACGGAGAGAAGGGAAGAAAGGAGAGAGAGTAGGAGGAGGAGAGAGAGAGAGAGAGACTGAGTGAGTGACAAGTAGAGTATGGGTGTCAGGGTACATTGTGCTCGAAGCGTGTCATGATCCGGTATAGTTGTTATTTACAACGCCAATCTAGTGAAGGTTTGTGTAACTCTGATTGACTTTCTGGGTGGTGAAGGAGATCGCTGAGAGCCAAGATGATATGAATATTCGACTTCAATACTAAATCAAAGTGTTTAATCCTATCTGTCATGTTGAAGCCTCTCAGTGTGGTCTTCATGGCTGCTGTCTTACCTATTACGGATGGTTGAATTAGCGATAAGAGTTGTCGTGCAGTACAACATACAGAGAAACCCGTGATATTAGTAATGATTACGCCCCAACTTTCCACATGAAAAACTACGCGGAGTGGTGGCCGAAAAAAGAGTAGCCACCAGATATATATGAAGCAATATCTACTCTCAATGTTTTTTCTTTACGATTCTGTATTTTCGTTAGCAAGGTTGTTAAATATTTAATTGCACTTTTGTTCTCTTATTTTAGGAGATTTTCTAGTTTCCTTTCGCCCTCTTGCTTTGTCGCGTCAGGGTCGTGCCTTCATTCGCCATGAAAACGCGACGGCAGTGCGAAATGACTGACATTCTATCTGAGAACTTTTTCGATTTCTGTTATGAGCTTAATCATGGATTCCATTGCATCTATTGCCTCGCTGGACAGCGCTTGCACCTTGACCCAGTGACGCTCGCGCGCGTCGCCCGGTTTCGCGAGACGCGACGCGGAGTTTGGTTGGAACGGGGGGAACGATGGGAAGGGAAGAGGGGAAGGAAAGGGAAGAGGAGCCAGAAGGAGCGTGAGAGAAAAGCGAAAAACCGGATAAGTTATATAAATAATGAAAATAATGATGTATAATGGATTATAAGAAAAGGAGACCGATAGAAAAGAAAGAAATAAAACGAAGAAGAGGGAAAGTGGGCATGAGAAGAAAAAAAAAATGAGGAGCATATGGATCAGAGGGGAGGTGCTGCAGGAGGAGTAATATATGAAAAGGGCGGGAAAGTGGAAGTGGATGGGGCTGGAAGGAGGAGAACGGTGGATAGAAGGGGGATAGAAAGCGGTACATAAGGAAGGGAAGAAGAAGCGAGAGAGAGATGGAGAGATGAGAAGAGAGGAGAAGGAGAGTAGAGATGTAAGATGAGAGAGATGAGTGGCATGGAGACGAGATGTGAGAGAGTGGAAGATTAGTAACTGAAAGAGAAGGAAGAAGAGAGAAAAAGTAACACTTTGAAGTAATGGGAAGGAAGAGAGGAGAGACGATCGAAAAAAAAGAAGTAAAGAGGAGGCAAGAATAAGGAAGAGACGGGAGGAAACCAGGACAAAGAACAGATGTAATTGATAGGTTAGATGTATACGATTAGGTAGACGAGAGGAGAGAGAGAGCAGAGAAGACGAGATGAGATGAGACCCGAGGAGAGAGAGAGAAGAAGAGACCGATGGAGAACTGAGAGAGAGATGAGAGAGGTAGAGATGAGTGAGAGGGGAGAGGAGAGAAAAGAATGAGTAAAAAAGAGAGAGAGAAGGGTCATGATGTACTGAGAAGGAGAGAGGAGAGAGAGAGAGGAGAGATCTAGAGAGGAGAGAGATCCGAGATAAGTGGCGAAGAAAGAAAGATGAAGAAATGATGGTCAATCACGTGACACGCAGTAATATGTGCGTAAAGCCTTGCTAAAAAAAAATAATTCTGTTTGACCATTTCAACTAGTTTATGATTCAGACATACAAGTGGAATGTATTGTAATTAGGAAAATTAATGAACGAAAACATGTTTTCGTCTTTTTCCCTATTTCCTAATGTTATGCGAAATAAAATTCCATATCCAACTTCAGATAAAAAAAGAGATCTGATTATTGTTTCACGTCTAAATAGACTCCAGTGAAATGAAAAGATACGCACACCCACACACATGTACACAAGAACACACGCACACGCGCGCGGGCGCTCGTGTGTGTGTGCGTGTTCGTGTGTGTATCCAGTAGAGTATGCTTACGTGTGTGCGAAAGATATTTATTTCCTGACTGGTGAATGCTCGTGTTTTCGGCGCTTGAGACGATCTGGCATTTCCGCCTCGTGCAAAGGTGCTTATGTCATGTGTACGCGCGCATGTGTTTGTGAAACCAGTCCCTGCCAAAGACCAAAGATGAATCGCTTTTTTCAGAGACTTTGACGTTGATATTTCCTCTGTCAGATGAAAGGGAACGGCCCCTCGCTTCAAAGGTGACTTTGATCCAAGTATACGGAACTTCAACAAATTCTTGTTTCAGACCTTCCAAATTATTTTCTATTCCCTTTCTTGTCGATTCTGCACGAAAAGTAAACTAGATAAAACATAATTTCTTGGGTTAATAAGCGACAAGCGATTATGTTTTTTATACGATGACTGCGACACGCGTCTCTCGTCTGGTGAGTTTTCTGTTTATTTTTTTGCGAATGTTGACACCGTAGAAGATTGTATATGCCATAGAGAAGATACATGGTGAAAAGAGGGGGCGAGATGAGAGAGAAAATTAAAGAAATGGAGAGTAAAAGGTTACAACAATAACAATAAAAGAAAATATGGTAAAAAACAAAGGGGAGTGAAAGAAAGGAAAGGGCAAAAATAAAGAAAGGAATGGATCGGGAGAGGAGAACCAGCAGCAAAAGACATAGGAGAAAGACCTATAATTCACCAAAACCATGAATGCATTACCCATCACCGTAATACAAGGCCTCGCAACACCCTAAATGATATCCCCAACTATTACTCATCTTCCCGTGCCATCAGGCGAGGGAGTCTTGTCATTTGCTCTTTTGGCGCCGCCCCGTTGCACCGCGGACAATTACGCGGCCTTTAATACGCCTCTGATGTAGTGCGAGTGCGATGGGACGCCTCGGCCGCCCCTTTGGCCGTCGCCTCTAATCTCCCTGGAGTTAGGATCTCAAAAGGACTTCTTGTTTTCGTCGTAAAGGATGGTCCGTTCGTGGGTCGCTCTTCGGACTAAGGTCAAGGGCGTGTGGTGTACGTAAAGGGTGATCTCTCTGCGGTGATTTTCCTGATTTTCATATTCATTATCATTATTGTTAGCTGTATTGTCTTAACGAGGGTGATGTGAACGATTCTAGGAGTGATTGTTATTCTTATCGTTACAGAATTTGTTTTTGTTAACGTCGTTATTAGGAGTCTATGATTAATAACATGTCTGTTATTATTGTTTTTGTTATAGTTATTCATATACTGAATTTGTTATTATCAACCTCGTTATTAGCACTGAAATTATTAGTAATGTTCCTGTTATTATTGATATTGTTATAATTATTCACATTCTTCTTATCACTATCATTATCATTACCAGCAACCGTATTATCATTACAGTTGTACTAATCCCAGTCACTCGTTGTAATCACTTTCGTCTCACTATTTCTGCTAATGATTCCCATCGTCGCGCCAGTCACCCCCGCCTCCATATCCCGCAGCGCGCCACCCTCACAGCTGACCGCCTCCCCTAACCTTCCCTTCCTCCGCAG